CTCCATCTCCTCTCCATCTCCTCTCCATCTCCTCTCCATCTCCTCTCCATCTCCTCTCCATCTCCTCTCCATCTCCTCTCCATCTCCTCTCCATCAACCATCCCAAAACCACAACCAAATACACAAGTTACACAGGTTACTAACGAATCTCGTGGCTCACCGCAGATCTACATCTACACGAACCAACTCGCCAGCCGGGGGGTGCGCGGCATGCAGAGGAGGAACATCGTTCTCACGAAAGAGGGGGCACGCGTCGGGGTGAGGGAGATGGACGGCGAGGAGTATGCGGATTGGACGCAGAGGTTCGTCTTATTTATTTATTTCTTTTCGTTTTTGTGCTTGTCTTTAAGGGGAGGAGGAGGATAGGAAGGGAGGGGGGGAGGAGGAGAAGAAAAAGGAAGACGGGGGGGATAGCTGATAGAGCAAAGAGGGAGAAGGGAAGAGAATGGGATGTTGGGAGATCTGCCAGGGGTTGGACATGGCAACGATACGGCATATAAACCAGCCAGACACGCTAACCTTACACTACCCAGAGCCCTCGTAAACACGTGGAACGCGGCATACACCGATGTCAAGGGCAAGGGCAAGGGCAAGGGGAACGGAAAGGCGACGGCGACGACGTAAGTCCTACTTATTCCTTCCCTTCCCATCGCCTACCTCCTCTCCCCAGCTCCTTTTACTACGGAATGTGCATACTAATAATGGAGGGGTAGGGCATCGACTTCTCAAACGTTGGCTTCTGGAACAGCGAAATCGACCTCGCACTTGACCTCGCACTCGCACAAGAGATGAGAGATGAGAGATGAGCGTTTCTCTCTCGATATCTCACGAGGGGTGCCGGGTGGAGTTTTCCTTCCTTTCGATTCAAACTTCTAGCAGGCATGTATGCGGGCGTTATCCGGATCGGCGCCAGGGGGTTGGTACATATATTCATTCGGGTTTCGATGTCCCTTGGGTATAGGTTATGGGTAGTATGGTTAGTATGGTTAGTATGGGAGGGCGGTGGGCGAGTAACTCCCTAGGTACCTGCGAAGGGTAAACCACACCTATTTCCATCTCTCCCGTGATATCGACATTGTTTCCGATGGGTTTGGTTTTCATATTCTCGAGTAGCATTGCTATGGGAGCTAGTGTCTCTCGCTCATTCATGCTCAGCTAGCGGGTGATAGCGTTGAATCAACAACCCACGGCCACGACGTCTCACACTCAGCACCACCCCTGCGATAACTCGACATGGTTGAAAATGGCCGCTTGAGTTCGGCTCTCCTTACGACCGAGTATACTATTAACTGCACAGCAAAGCACTTTCCTCCAGCCAACCCTCTCGATATTCCCCAACCTACCTGTCCTCCCAAACCCGTCCTTCACAATACCCAACTCTCTATCAGACCCCTCTCCCTCCTACCCAGCAAAAAGGACCACTCTAAACCAAGAACCACTAGCTACTAGCTACCAGACCCTCTTCTCCTGACACATAACTACATAATCATAGCACTTACTTACTACATACAGGTTAGGCAAAAAAAAGCCAATAATAGAAGAAAGAAAATAAGGGGAAAAAAAGGAGAAAGATTCCTCCTGCGCGAATAGTACCTTACCCTACTCTTGTACCTGGCCATGAGGAAGGAAAGCAAAAAGAAAGGAACATGGAAATTTGGCTCCGATGTATACATGGTTCTCCTGCTAGGTATCTCTCTCTCTCTCTCTTGCTCTCCCACTCTCTACCCGGCTCCCCCTCCACCCCTGTTTTCCCTTCCCAATCCTAGATATACATATTCATCCACACGCACAAAATCAGTACGACAAACCCAACCATCCCGCTGTATTCTCATAAACACATAGCTTTACATAGATTTTCCATTTCTACTCTCCCAGGGCAAAACTCAGGAACCTATGCAATCCCCATTCCCCAGAAATAATCTATATCCCTCAATATTGCACACGAAAGGTGTGTCTTACTTCGTGTCTCGGAGACCAAGTCCATGCCGAGACAGAAAAAGCCCATCATTACTTCTTTATTCACAATCCAATTCCCAGAATGCACCTATTCTCTCAATTCAGGAGGCCAAGTATCCAAATCCCCGCACAAATCCATTTTCCCAATTGCCGGAGATCCATTACCCTCTACTCTCCACCCCTCTCATGCACATACACCGCTTCACGCAGCAGCATCACCATTCGTCACAGCCGAAGCCGCAGCCTGTTTAGCCATGCGCTTGCTCATACTACGTACACATCATTAGCATCCATCATGCACGACTACCAGAGAGGGAAAAAGCGGGAGAACTCACAAATCGAAAAACGAAAACTGGCTCGCCGAAATGCCATACTCGTACACGAAGCGGCTGGCCAGGAACGAGCCAAAGATTGCGCGGAGATACGAATCCGGCACCTGCGTCACACACAGTCAGCTTCTGCTTCCCTTTTCCCATTTTTTCAAAAATAACACTACTCACCCTCTCCACAATCCTCTCCAGCCCAATCTCCCGCTGCAGCGTCGCCGGCAACGCCTCGCGCAGCACGCTCGTCCGGAAGCCCACGTTATCCCACAGATTCGTGCTCTGCAGCTCCTCCTGCAGCCGCGTAATCGCCACGCTCAGCGTGTCGCTCAGCACGCTCCTCGGCTGGCCCGTCGCCTCGTGCTCGCGCCAGATGGCCTCAAACTCGAGCCGCGCGTTCTCCTGGATGATGGACTGCACCTCGCGGACGTAGGCGTTGTAGAAATCGGGCGCCGTGCCGTCGGGCCGGATGCACATGTTGGAGAGGAATCCGGCGTCGTCGAAGGAGAGCGAGGCCAGGACTTCGAGGGACGAGGAGGTGACGCCGCCTTTGTTGGCTGACGCGTCCTTGTAGAGGATGCAGCCAGCCTTCTCGAGGCGCAGCTTTGCGTCTTGCGTGATGAAGAGGTTGGCGCCTTCGACAATGTAGGGGATGCGGGATTTGCCATCGACGATGAGCTTGTTGACGCTGGTGAGGTCGATGGATTCGGGGCGGCCGCCGCACGGGACGAAGACGTCAAACTCATTGGTGGTGCGGAGGTGGAACGTGTTTCTGAACGAGGTCCCGTTGTAGACGAGTTCGCCGGAGGGCAGCTTGACGTTCGTGTCATCGACCAAGACGCGGTAGCCTTCCGGGGAGAGCTTGGAGACGTCGAAGTGGTTGATCATCTTGCGGGCGGTGGCGAGGCGAACCAGTTCCTCGCGGTTGATGCCGTGCGGGTCGTACAGGACGCCCGAGCCGTCGACAATAGCTACGTACTTCTCGTTGCTGAGTTTGATCTCGTTGGAGCCGAGATCGCCGTCTGGACCTCCTGTCTGCAGCTTGCGGACCTTGCTCGGGTCGAGACCCAACTTGCGGTAGATACCGAGCACATACTGCCGCACGGATTGAGTCGTCATACCGTAGACGTCGTGGGGGATGCCGCCCAGCTTGGGGCTCTTTCCCGTGAAGAACGACTTCCACCACGGCGCACCTCTGCTCCGCGCATGCTCGGTCGCCCAGTCGACGAGGCCCGCCGTGTTCTCATCGGGACCCATGAAGAGAATCTCCTCCTTGCCGTACAGGTCGACGATGGGGTCCTTGATGCCGGGGCTGCTGGGCGGAAGCAGCAGATCCAGGATGCTGTCGATGTACTTCTCAAACGCCACCGTTGCCTTATCCTGGTGGTGGTAATCCAGAAGCACGACGCCTTTAGAGCCGCCTTCGGGGATATCCTTGTTCTTGCGCTGCTGGGTATTGGCCAAGTTGTAGTTCTCGTCGAACATGGAGCGCGCGTTGATGGCATAGGCTTCTTGGTTCCTCGACTTGACGATGCGAATGCCGCCCCTAGCAATATCTCGGAAGCGGAGATGGAAGCCGCGGAACTCGGAGCCAATGACCAGGAACATGCCGTAGAGGGGATCGGGATATTCGGACGAGGGCAAGAAGCTGGGATTGAAGCGGAAGCTGAGGGCGACCTTGGTGGGGGTGTAGAAGTTGGTCTTGAGAACGTGCTTGTTGAAGACCTGGAAGTAATCCATGACCTTCTCATGATGGTCGTTAATGACGGCTCGGTTGATGGCCTCCTTCAGCTCGTCGTCGCTGAGGACCCTGTCCGTCTTGAAGCGGATGTAGCTTAGCGTGGGGAGGAAGTCGTCCTGCTCGCCACGCAGCGGCTTGTAGTGCGTGGCTGCAAAGGACAGGTACAGGCTGTGAACCAGGTCGGGGTATTGGTTGATGATCTCCATGATGTAGTCGGCCGTGTAGGTCTCAGTGCGCAGCCTCTTCTTCAATTTGGAGAGGAGTTCTGCGTGGGCACTGTTCTCCCGGTCGAGGATCGATGCCAAAGCGGCGTACTCATTTCCCAGACGGTTGAGGAAATGCGAAATGAAAACCCATACGCAGTGGGCGTAGATGCTCTCCTGCAGGCTCAGCTTGGAGGTAGCGAACAGGGTCTGGAACTTATTCCGCGGAATGCAGTAAAGGAGCGAGACTTCCTTCATGATCTGGTAGATGGAGGACTCGATGGGCGGGTATTTGCCTCCCAAGCCGTGAGCCTCACGGAGATAGAGCGACATGGTCGTGTATCCGTTCGAAAACTGCTCGACGTATTTTCTAGTGGTCGTCAGTCCGTAGTAGTGATACAGATCGCTGAGGGCGCTGAAGAAGTCAATGGCCGAGCCCTGCTTATAGGCAATGACCAAACGCTTATCGCGCGTGCCCTCGATGTCGAAGGGCTCGATGACGGGACCGGTCCGCTCCATGGCCAGCGATAGAACATGCTGATAGATATCCTTTGTATTCTTGGTAGCCTTGAGCAAAAAGCGCTTGTCTCCAATCTTCTCGATATCGCACTCATTCGCATCTGGATTGGGATTCTCGAAATCGCACTCATACACGAAGTAACAGCGCAGCTTCTCCTCGCTATTGGGCAAAGGGCTTTCGGATCGGAAACTCTCGACGCGGTAGCCCTGTCCGTTCTTAGTGACGTTGAGATACTTCTCGTCGATGCGGCTCTCGTATTGAGGGCCCTTCATGACCGAGACGCCAGGCCTGCTGGTATCGATGTAGACGGCATGGTCCGAGGACTCCTTGTCCAGGCGAATCTCGAAGCGCTTGTCATCGCGGGCGTAGGCAGCCACCTTGGCCGAGTAGAGGGAATGTATATGGTTCGCGATACTGTGCAGGGTTAGCATGCGTGTGAAGATGGATGCAGAACTGGACTTTGGTGTGCACCTACGCTTCCACCGATTCGGTCGCAAAGTACATATCATCGATGCCCAGCTGGTCGTAGAACCATTCGACCTCTCCCTGGACGACGTCCTCTGGTATGAAGGCCTTCTCCAGCACGGATTCTATGACGCTCTCCATCTGCTTCTCCTTGCCCTCGAATGTGGGAGCGACATAGCCGGAGCCGCCCAGGCCTTCGGCGGGGAGCACTCGGGGCGACGAGTGGCCTGACGAAGTGCTGGTGACGCTCAGATGTGTAGGGAGAGGCGAGGGTCGCTGCAGCGGCTCGTGGCTAATGGGGTGGAGGAGCTTGTTAGGGTTGATGATGCCATCGTTGAACACCGGGGTCGACGACATGGCGGGGATGCAGGTGAATTGTGACTACAAGGCTGTAATAAAAGAGTGTCTAGATTCGACGGTTAGAAATTTGCAAGTAAAACGAAGTGAAAGAAGGGTCGTGGGAGGCTCGCGGTCCTTCGGAGATGCGCGGCGTCGAAAAGCGGAATGATGACGCACCTAGAACAGGGAAGGGTGAAGCAGGTACAAAAGGATAAGGGGAGGGCTTCCAATTGGATCTTTTCCACCGCCTTCTACTGAAGGAGGTTCAAAGTCAAGGGCGAGAGCAGTGTCGGTGGCACGCCACAATCTGAAGCGCCGATGTGAGGGTAGCAGGTCGGTGATAAGAGGTGAGGGACTGAGGTAGAGGTAGAGTGAGACGTGAGCAACAGCAACAGGAGAAAGGGCGACGGATGCGCCATTTTATGGAAATCTGGGAGAAGGGTGCCAGGGACAGCCCATCCAGGCATCGGATGGAACTAGAACTGTGTTACTGGTGCATGACAGGGCGGGCGGTCTGGCGGGCTTTGACTAATAGCCAGCAATGGAGTTGACATTGGAGCAAAGCCGTACAATCAACTGACCTTGCCAGGCCAGCGCACATTGTTGTCTGCGCGAATTGTTGTCGTAGTTCATCAGACCGCCCTCCCCCTTTTCTTAGAGGAGTCATCATGTATTGCAATTTCCAGCTCCAGACAGGGCGCCGCTCAGCCAGCAGGGCATCTGGAAGCTGGAGCTGTTGGACGACCACGCGACGCCGCACTTCACGATGCTTGGCGGCTTCGAGCGGCTGAGCGGCGGTGCTCTCGGTGCTTCGCGCGGGGGCCAGTGGAGACCAGTGGATCCCGATGGAGACTAGCGAACTTGGCGCGTTGGGATTTTGCGGGGCACGTGTCCAGGGGTAGCAGGAGTAGATCCAACGGTCCGCCATGCATTCACCCTTTCCCTCACCGTTCCAGGCCGAGTACCGTTTGTAATCTGCGGATACACATAATGGTCTTGTCCTGTCACGTATGGACAGCCCCGTTTGTATGGGAGGTGTTATTTGCAGTATCAATTGTCACAAACGTACCACCCAATTGGCCCCTCAATGGAAGACCAATGAGTGATGAATAGCCTCATCCCTTTCCAACAAACATGGTCCTGTTGCACGAGCTCGAATTCCACACCACATGACCCCTTCTGACTCTCGCTCTCTTTTACGCTCGAGCCCCGAATAAAACATTCAAAGCCCCCTGAACTTCCTACCCGTAACGAACAACCTCTCGCAAGTCCTCCCTACCGTAGCCTAACTCGGCGACAACATGGAAAGCTTCTTGCCCTCACGTGCTGGCCATCTTGCATCTGACCTTCCCCTACCAGCATCCTCCATGCCTTCCACCAATGCTAAAACCTACATTCCGACATCCCAATCGCCTCTAGCGTAGCCGCGCCTCGAGTCGGTTAGCGTCGGCTGGATTTCATCTCTTGGCCTTGAATCTTCCATGACGATGCAGGATGGAACCTCTCCAGACAAAACCCTCAACAAACTTCGTCATTTTTACCTAAGTCCAAATTCCCTGCCAGTCGCTGCAAAGAGAAAGGGGTATGTATGTGCCGTGTCAACCTACTTCTCCGCTCTTACCGAAATATTGGTGCTTGAACGCAAATCAATCGCAAACTCCAAAAAGTGGCCAGAAAAGGAGAAGCCAGATTGGCAATCCTACTCTGCTGCGAACCAGCTACTGTCACAGTAAACTGCCCGCAGCCATTGCAATCCGTCCCCGTGCAAAGAGAGAAGACCCCATGGTCGCTCCTACATCATCGCCGCATGAAGCTCAAACACGCTGTTCCTCCATCCACCCTCATCCCAATCGTCCACTCTCTCGCCAGCCCTCAGCGCCTCCTCTTCCCACAGCTTCACCACACTGCCAGGAGCATACTTGCCCTTGAAGACGCCCTTCCTGGGCGCCGCAACCCCGACTCTGGTGTATAGATCCGGATCTTCTGCAGGCGTCAGTCGCGTGAGGACCGCCTTGAAGAAGGTGCGCAAGTCTTCTGGGTCCGAGATTCGCGTGGCTCGCAATCTCTCTCGTGCAAAAATCAACTCTCGGTTCGCTGCGTGGATGGCGTCGGCGATACCGCTTGCCAGCTGCTTCTCCATGACTTTGCGGAAAATGGGCCGGAGCAGGGGCTTCAGGATCCAGCCCAAGAAGGAGAGCTTCGATTTTCGGAGCGTGTACGTGAGTTTGTGAACATGGACCCGCACCGCTCGCAACGTCACCATCTGCTCCAATCGGTCCTTGGCAATCTCGACGTCAAGGTGGACATCAATCCCACGCTCATCCAGATGGAATGACGCGATCCCTTCGTCTGCTAGCCGCAGAAGCCCACTGTGTGCGCGGAGTAGGAAGCCCACTTCATCGGCGCGGAGCGAGAGGCCATCCATTTTGATCGTCACCTTGGACGTCACTTTGGACGCCACACGGAAACGCGCCTTGCGGATCTCAAAGTCGTTGTACGTCTCAACACGGAAACGGAACGGAAGGAATGATGTCTGGTTCACAGTCTTGCCAGGCTCAAGGATGAGATTCTCGAGCAGAAGGTCTACCTCTGGGGTCGACACTTCGAGACGGGGGATCGGTATGTACTGAATCGCCTTGATCAGAAGCGGCACGAATACGTTGATCGCATCTGTGACCAGCTCGCTGTTTGTGTATGCATGCTTGGGAGACAGGATATTGACGATTCGAGTCGTCGTCTTGACCAACCGGGCAATGTCCTCATCTCGAGCTACAGCGTGGAGAGTTCGCTGCACTTGTTCGAAGAACTTGTCGACGTCCTCGCGGAGCGAAGAATCCGTCCCTACGCCACGAGATTTCCTCCGAAGTTCCTGGAATTTCTCATCTGCATTGTCGAAGAAACCGGGATCCGTTAATAACCTTTGCAGAGAGTTTCCAATGTCTCGGATCAGGTCTTCAAATTCGGGATCCTTCCGGGAGTGCTCCAACACAGCATGGAAACGGTCCTCAAGCCTCCTCCACTCGTCTGGATCACCAAACGAGCTCACGAGCAGCCAGAAGTTCTTCACTGCCTTCTCCATTTCACGATTAGGCTCAACATCGTCGCGAGCGGCCTGAAGAGTATCTTCTGCGACACGCGAGTATGTTATGGCATATTGTTGTAGGAGGCTGGCTAACGTGGACACGGATTCGGAATAGTCGCGCTTCTGGCGGAGGTTGGTTACTGTCCTCTTAAGACGCCACAGGAGGGATTCCCCTTCATCACCCTTGAGCTTATCCTCCAGGCTATGTTCCGCCTCACGTACGACCTTTGCCGCACCGGAGCCCACAACCTCAGCAACCTCGGCTACGTCGCCTTGGAGATCCTGAGTTGTTGGAGGAGGCCCTGTGTCGGCGTCAGTGCCAGGCTCCGTGAGAATCTTCTGTTCGGCTTGCGAGGGCTCAATGGTCTCTCCGGCTTCCTTTGCGACTTCTGATAGTGTGAAGGCCGTGTCTCTGAACACCTCGCGGCCGACGACGTTGAGATCGGAAAGGAACTTGCGGAAATCCGAATTCGTGAGCAGCAACGAGCCGACTGTCTGAAAACTTCTATATGCTACTGAAGGTCAGCGACTTGATTTGGTCACTCGATGTGCGTGAAGAAATCTCCCGAAGATATCAGCAAGTACGTACCCGCTGCGACATCTGCTTTGCGCTTGGAGTTGGATACACGACGCGCAATGTGACCCGTGTCGACGGATACCCTGGATTTCGACAAGTACCATATAAAGTCTTGGATTTGATCTCCGTCGTTTTTATGCTGCAGGAGGTCGATAAAGTCATGGATCCACTGTTTCGTGTATTTGACGAGCAAGCGGCCGGAATCGCTGAGGTCGGGATTGTCGGGGTTCAAGATGTCGGCGGCAAGTAGACTGCGGAGGCTGACGACGGTCTGTTCGGTTGACGGCATGAAGCCTTTGGAGAGGGCACGGAGCATTTGATAGGTGTGCAGCTTCTGGTGAAGCTCACGCTGCAGAACGGTATCATCGCGGTACTGGGGGAGCAGCGGCCGGTGCTCGTCGTCATGGCCGCGAGATTTGCGGAATCCGAAGAACGAAGACATGGTGAATTGGAACGAACCGACGCTCAATTCCGAGACCACGGGGAGATGGGAGGGTGTCGGTCACGGTCCGAAGCTGGCCCTCTGAAGGCTGGAGGGAGATGTCTCCATCTCATCGTGACGACAAGATTGAGAGCTCCTGCCTACGTCATAGGGCTGCATGGGGTAAATTGTTCTTCCGTCTCCGAAGTCTGGGGTGCGCCTTCCATGCCTTCCATGGCGACAGCTTGACAGCAAACAACCGCAACAACACCAAAGACACACCAAGAGCATCCTGACCGGGAGAGACAGTCACTACGACAGCTTCCGCGACACCATTCACGGCGACTTGACTACCTAGGTACAGCAATGTCACGAGAGCAGTATCCTAAAGAAGTGGAATAATAACGGTACGGAGTACACATGGCAGGCGAAAGTATCGGTAGACCACCTGCGTGTGAGAAAAGCTTCCATGCAGTGGTTGCCTCGTTTGGTGGTGCAATCTGCGGGGAAAGCCCAAAACAGCTGAGCTTGCGATGGGGGAGGGTTCCAAAGGTCGACCGAATGGAAACGGATTCGAAGCATCATTCATCGGCTCCCCAGAATCGATTCCCTCTTCGATGATTGGAAGCGTTCGAGTCCGAAGTTTAATATCCCGGAGCCCATGAACACTGCTGGGATTCACAGTTCACTGCATTTGTGATTTCTCACACCGAAACTCTGCGAGACGCGGTGGGAAACCCAACGAATCGGGAGATTGTGTGAGGGACGGAAGGGGCAAAAGATGCGAGCAAGTCGGTGTGCATGTCGCACAGCTGGAGTGAAGCAGAATCGACTGTGGTATGCAAAAGACGGCGCACCTGTCCGCCAAGGATCGTGACCGTTGCCAAAGCATGTTGGGTTGACTCCCTTTCGGACCCCTGAGACTGGTTGGATGTGCCCAACATTGAAAGACACAGGGCGAGGAAAGTCGGTCCCAAAAGGCGCGCTTGAGATTGTTAATTACGGCACCACCCCAAACGGCTGAGGGCATGGCTCGATACTGGAATAACGTTCGGGGATCAGCGTTATCCAAACAGCAGCCGTTGCTGACAAGGCTGAGGTTCAAAAATGCCTCTCTCGACAATGTCTGTGCTCCCCATTTTCGGTGAGTCGCGACCGGCACTCGTGGAAGTCTCGGAAGGTTGTCCTCAACTTATCCGCAGCTGTCTCGCAACCACGTCAACAACGCTCAGCCAGCACAGCGTCCATGTTTGTCGAAGACTTGAGTATCGACGGAGTAACAAATGCGGTCCAGAGGAAATCCGGGGAAGGCCAGCGCAGTGGATCCACTCCACCACTCCATGACCCCGACGGCAGAGCCGACCCGTAGTCTACTGCTATCCTTTCTGTTCCGACTTCTCCCGACCACCCCCTGCCCGGCATGGCCTGATTGTCCCGGCTGCTGCCCTGCGCCACCCGGCTGCGGTTGCGGGATGGAGTCGCATGGCGAACAGGGCTAGCAAGGGCTAAGGGACCAGGGCAGGCGCGCCCGAGATCCGTGCATCCCCATGAACCCTGCCCCCTGCCCTTCACCACGAAATGCCTCTCTGTTGTAACGCAATCCGTATGAGAGTCATTCCTAGCAACGCCGTCTCCTCGATACTCCTCGCCGCCAATTGACGCCTAATCACTCTGGACGCTTTCCTATAGGTTAGCCAGTGCCCCTAACAACCCAATTCCAGCCCCGACCTCCTCCTCCTGGCTCCTCCTTCACCTTTTTCTCATATGCCGCTGTCGCGTGCTTCCTCCTGACGACGTTGGTTTGGGCTGTCAATGCCGCGACTAATTCCTTTAAAAAGGGGCCTCCGCTTCCTAAGCTCGTCCATGATTCCAATTTCCCACACCTCCCCGCTTCATCCTTTTTATTCTTCTTCTCCCAACATCCGCACATTGGCTACAGTCTCAGGCAGCATGCCTCACAGTACCCTACCTGCCAGACCCGAAATGGGCTCCCGCCAACTCAGCACAACGTGAGTTGGCCTTCCCGACACCCTCCTCCTGCCGGATCCTGACAACATGTTTAGGAACGGTGATTACTGCACTTCAAATCCTCCAGAGGTCCGCAAGGCCCTGAGAACCTACGGCTTGACCCCCCCAACCACCGAGAGCCATGAGGTCCAGGCCAGGAGATGTCTTCAGCTCCTCAAGATGAAGCCCACGAATCTGGAGAAGTTCCAATACCTGGTCCACCTCAAGGCCACCAACGTCCATCTCTTTTACCGTCTGCTTGCCGACAACATCAAGGTGCGTCCTGAGTCATGCCTGTGTGGCTCACCCCACCGGAAGCTAACCGCGGCATAGCAACTGACTCCACTCATCTACACCCCCACCGTCGGCGAGGCCTGCCAACGATGGCACGAGATCTTCACCCAGCCCGAGGGCATGTACCTTTCCTACCACGACCGTGGCCACATTCGTGAAATCCTCGACAACTGGCCTCATCAGGTCCAGATCACCGTCCTCACAGATGGCTCACGCATTCTCGGACTGGGCGACCTGGGCGTGAATGGCATGGGAATTCCCGTCGGCAAGCTGGCCCTGTACACTGCATGTGCAGGAATCAGGCCAGATGCGACGCTCCCCCTGACCATTGACCTCGGCACCAGCAACGAGAAGCTGCGGAATGACCCACTCTACTTTGGCTCCAGAACACCAAAGGTGTCTCCTGAGCAGGAAATCGAGTTCCTCGATGAGCTCATGGAAGCTCTCACGGACAAGTGGCCTGGGTATGCACCCCTCATTGCTTTGTTCATCTCACGTTCTGACCTGGGACAGCATCGTGATCCAGTTCGAAGACTTCAAGAACCCCTTCCCCTCCCTCGCGAGATACAAGGACACCTATACCATGTTTAACGATGATGTCCAAGGCACGGGCGCCGTCGTCACCGCTGGCATCATCAACGCTGTGCGCCATTCTGGCGTCCCCGCCAAGGACCACAGGGCCGTCTTCTACGGAGCCGGCAGCGCCGGAGTGGGTGTTGCCAAGCAGATAGTCGAATACTTTATAAAAGAGGGTCTGACGGAAGAGGAAGCCAAGCGCAAGTTCTGGTTCGTCGACTCGCAAGGCCTTGTCACCAAGGATCGTGGTGACAGGCTCGCCGAGCACAAGGTCTACTTTGCCCGCGACGACAACAAGGGCCGCCAGTACCAGTCTCTGGCGCGTATCATCGATTTGGTGAGACCGACGATTCTCATGGGGCTGTCTACCAGTGGCGGTGCCTTCACTCCTCAGATCCTCACGAGGATGGGCGAGCTGAATGACAAGCCCATCATTTTCCCTCTGTCCAACCCCTTGACCGCATCCGAGTGCACCTTTGAGGATGCGGTCCGGAGCACCGAAGGCCGTTGCCTCTTCGCCTCGGGTTCACCGATGGATTCGATTGAGTACGGCGGTAAGCTCCTTACTCCGGGCCAAGGTAAGCTCCCAGACCCGAGTGTGCAGAGTCCGACGCATGTAATCTGACTGTGGAACAGGTAACAACATGTACGTGTTCCCTGGCATTGGTCTGGGTGCCATCATCTCCAAGGCCACGTCCGTCACCCAGGATATGATCTATGCGTCAGCCGAATCCCTGGCCACCTCGCTCAACGAGCAGGAGAAGGCGGATGGCTGGCTGTATCCTGCAATCAACCGCATCCGTGAGGTGTCCGTTACCGTGACCCGCGGCGTTATCCGGGCCGCGCAGAAGAATGGCGTTGATCGCGCCACCGAACTCAGGGCGTACTCCGATGAAGAGCTGGACGACTACATCAAGAAGCGCATGTACGACCCGTTTGACGCACATAAGCACCTCAGGGAGGAGGTGTCGCAGCTTCTCGCCAATGCCTCCGGCCACCCCAGCGGTCGCGTTAACGGCGTGGCTGCCAAGATTAATGGTCTTGTGCACGGCGTCAACGCTGCTCACTTGTGATTCAGCGGCTTCGGTTTTCGCGTGCATATCGGTTCGGCGTCCGGGATTCTTCAACTTTCCTGTCTTTTCCGTTTCGGCACGTTATGGTAGACATAGACAACCAGGTTTGGGTTTGGGATGGGCACACTCTTTGCTGGCATGGCTTGGATACCCCCTTTTCTTCGGATGATGTCTCGGGGCATGATCCACTCGTCGACGGTGTAGAGCTGAGCATGCCGTTTGCGGGTGCCAAGGGATCTACTGCCGAAGTGTCCGGGGCTGTGGTCGCCTTATTTCTGCTGCATGAAGCTGTCTAAGCAGATGAGCCTGAATGAAGGACTCGTTACAACAATGCAATGTTGAATTCTGTTGGCATCGGATGTGTTTTTCCAACTCCCATCATTGTGAACTGCCACGACCTTATGATCAGCAATTGGGGCGTCTTTGACACTGCGCGTCATCTCTGGATTCCAATTCCCCACGGATCAGATTCACCGTCTCCACCATGACCGTGTTTTGTTGTGACTTGTCAACTCCGGGTCCAGCCCCTCCCCTGCCCCCCTCCGGTAATCGTACCCTTCCCCACATTTTGGGGCTTGCCGCTAAAATAGCCTGGCAGACATCAATCCCCTCTCTTGTGTGAGTCGTTCGGAGGGCAGTCCGAGGTCCGACCTCGGGATTATCATGGACTGCCACTATTGGTAGACAAAAGATGCCTAGGTATCTCTGGAGACCTACATATGCGGCCGACGTAGTTGCATGCATGGGATACCTGGGGTATGCTGCGATTGCTGATGATGAATCTCCCGAATGGGATGAGTCTTTTGGGTTTGGGGATCGTGTGAATGAGTAGAGGATTTTTTGGGGATACGATGACAGGGTAGGAATGTGCTGGTGTATGATTGAGTGGATTGGGTGGTTGTTGAGTATGTTGGGTGTGTTTGATGGGGTGAGTGTTGGTGTGGGAGGTACCTAGGTGGTGCGGGACGGAGTGTACGGGGTGTCCGTGTACGCCTACCTAGGGTACTGCAGTATACATACTGCAGCAGTGAGTGCAGTACAGAGGGGCATGCGAGATAGGAGTTATAGCTTTAGAGTATAGACTATAATACATACAAGTGTGTACTGTGTTATTGAGGAAGGATGTACAGGCTGGGTATGGATGGATGGAGGGATGGAGGGATGACTGGTGGTCAGTTGGGCCCGGTATTCCATCTACTGTAGCACGCCTTTCTTCTTCTGCCCTTTGCCGTATGCCTATGCCTGGCCCACAGCTAGCGGGCAGAGGGGCTAGATAGGGTGTGAAATCCATTGCACCCCAAGGCGCGCGTGGGAGTGTAGAGTGAATAAAATGGACTTTGCGTGGACGATGGGAAGTGCACTCAGGAAGCCCTATTCGTCGTTACTAGGGTTTGAGAAGGGTTTAATAGGTTCTCTGGGACTATAGCTTAGTAGTCCCATGAGGTAGGGGTGCGTAGATACAAGTATGGCGTCCTGGGTTCACTCAATAGCCAAACGAACGCTACCTTATCGTCCATGAAGTTTCCAATCCTCCTCATACTGTAACCCTGGCATAGCTATACCAGTAGAGGAACCCGGGAACGTGCAAATTAGCGATCATATTTATTCATCCAGCCCTACGCTATACCAAGCTAGCTAACCAGGACAGGTTTCCCCACTGCTATCAAAATTCTCATACACCCTGAAAATACCTGCAAGGAGCACTAGCACTCAGACATAGTCCTGACCATCCTCAAGCTCCTGCTTGATCCCATCACCTGCGTTCCCGCCGTCAGCACCCTGGCCATCTTCTGCTTCAGCAACCTTGTTCTTCCGGCCGCGCTTCTTCGGGGAACCGCCTTCGTCGGCAGCAGCCTTGGTCTTACGCTTGCTGGGAGTCTTCGGCGTCTTGGGAGCAGCGTCGCCGGCGTCAATCTCTTGACCCGCCTTGAGCTTCTCTAAATCATCCTTGAGAGTGACCTTGAGACGGTCGATCATGCGTTGACAGGCGATCTCGGAGCGGCCCTGAGGACGAGGAGTAGACTGGTTTGATGATGCGAATCAGTGTTTGTGCAAGACGTTTCGACGGCCCAGAACGTACCTTGAAGTCCAACTTGCCGACGGCAGACTTCTCCATGAGAGCGACGAGATACACGAGCTGAGTGGATTAGCTTTGAGTACGTGACGGAAGAGTTATTGCTTTGGACTTACACGCTCGCGGTCCGTCCAGCCCTTGCCGGCCTTGGCTCCGCCGTTCTCGTTGTCAGACATGATTGCAACTAGAGTGTTAGTTAGGCTCTTTAGTCATTATACAGGTGCACTAGAGTACTTACCGTGTTGTCACAGTGATGGTAGTACGCGCTGTGAGTGTATCGAGTTGAGTGGGTTGGGTTGGTGTTGTGTCGAAGAGGAGAGAAGTGGCAGCGCGGTTAGAAGATATGCTCCCGGGGAAGCGCGCGTGCGGGGACTGGCGTGCTGGATGTAAACAGAAGCAAACGGTCACGGAATCACGTTCTTTAGGACGCAGAGAGAAAGTGGGGGTTTTGCAATGAGAAATAGAGGGTAATATCTTGGTAAACGTGATGGGCAAACGCTCGGTGCCATCACTGCCGTTCTCACTTCACTCCAGTGTGGGATGAATGAATGATACGAATGAACCGTGATCAAGGTGAGATAAATGAATTCTTTCTTGACAACGTGTTAATCACACCGATGTCACTGTCGTGAAGGCGGGCAACCTCAGTGATCACCTCTCATCCTCCTTGCGAGGTGCTGCAAGTGAGTGAGTGAAGCAACATCACCACTGTCCACACGGCAATACTTAAACACCGCACGCCTTCTAACCTTCCCTCCCCACCCACCTCCCTCCTCCATCCTCACAGCTTCATCTCCTCAACCCCATAAGTCAATCACCCAGTATCCTCCAACACAACAACCCACTAACCACCCATCCACAGCACCACAATCTCACCCCACCAGCATCACACCAACTCACCATGTCTGAAACCGCCCAAAGCAGCAGCGGCTGGACCGACCGCGAGCGCGTGCGTCTCCACCCCACAATCCCTCCCACATCCACTGCACTCATTTACACTCCTTAAAAACAGGCCCTCTACATCCTCGGCCTTCTCGAAGCAAGCGGCGCCAAACCAGCCCCCGTCGTCAAAAAGGAATCGACATCCACGGGCGGCCAGCGACGCGTCGAGCTGTCCGACCGCGAGCGTGTACGTACCACTCAATCAATTTCTCTCATTTCAACGACAAAAGCTGACCGTAGGCTCGTTAAGATCGGCTACATGATCGGCCTCCTCGAAGCCAGCGGCGCGAAACCGAACTACGCTGTACGTATTTACTCAATCCTCTCTCCACTTGCACACCACTAACAAACCCGTTTCAAGGACGCACCCCGCCCCGCCAACCGCACCGAAGTCGCCTGCAAACTCATGATCTCGCGCCTGCGCGTCTCGCTCAAGGACGACCTCGCGCTGCTAAAGGCGGGCGAAGAAGGGGGAGGCGCCGGTCTTGCAACTGGGTGTGGGAACGAGACTGCTGCGGCGCCGAAGACCCCCAAAACCCCCAAAACCCCGCGCACGCCCAAGCGTAAGGCCAAACCCGCCGCTGCTGGCGACGAAGAGGGTGACGGCGATAACGACAACGAGAACGACGCGGCGTCTCCTTCTGCGACGAAGAAGCGGGGACGGGGTCGTCCGAAGAAGGGCACTACTACCACTACTGCGAATGTGAATGTAAATGTCGATGCTAGTCTCAATGGCGCGGATGCGGACGACGTCAACGGCGAGCCGGTTACGGAAATCAAAAAGGAAGTCCTCGACGACGGGGACGACGCGGGCGGAGAAGGCAATGGTGGCAATGATGATGGCTTGGATGGATTTGACAGCCTTGTCTGATCGTGAGGCGGGACGAGGGGCGAAACGGACGGTTCATCGACTCGTTTGCCTTGCCATTTTTTGCAATGTGTGCATATGCGCGTCTGCATCCGTGGGTGCGTATGGGATTCTTCAAGCAGTAGGCTAGCTTGGTATCGCGTGTGGCTGGGTAGTCTAGGTAGGATCGCTGAGTTGCACGTTCCCGGGGCTTCTCTATAGTCTAGCTATGCCAGGGTTAGTGACAGTGGTAAATATAAGGGGGATCGAAAACTTCATCTATGGACGATGATTAAAAGTTCCGTTTTGGGCATTGAGCCAGGTCGAGACGCCATCCATTGATGTATCTACCCTACGCACCCCCTACCTCATAGGAGTAGATACAGCCTCTGTTCACATAGGTTCGACTAAACACCTCCCTGCACTTCCTCTGTACTGCTGTTTTCTATATCTAATTTAAACAGCTAGCAGGCGCAGCAATATAGGAGGTCCCGCAATTAGATTTGTAGCGCGCCTCTACGTATAGTAGTATGTTTAAGAAGAGAATTCTACCTGTCGCATTATTTAATCGTAGCCAGTTGGCTTGTGCCGGGTAGGTAATTCCACCTACAGAGGATTTGCAGCCGGATGTTCAGTCGCAAGTACTTGTGGACCCAGAAAACACCCCACGCTATTGAAACATCCCCAAGCTTCCAAGGTTAGCGCTACACAAGTAAGGCTTCTAAGTGCACTTCGTATCGTGCACGCAAAGTCCCTTTCATTCACTACACCCTCCTACGCGCGACTTAGGCTGCAATAGATCTTACATCTAGCCCCCTTTCCTGCCTGGCTGCAGAGCAGGCATAGGCATAAAGTAAAAGGCAGGAGACGAGGTGTGCTACAGTAGATAGAATAACCTTACTAGGCCTAACTAACTACTAGTTATCTATCCATCCATTAATCTATCTATCCTAGTCCTAGTCCTAGTCCTATACTCTCCTTAACTGTACTCTGCAATTGTGATGAAGTCGCAATAAAGCCTTGAACATGTCCGTGACTAGCGCGGAGCCAAGAACCCAACCCGCCCTGTTGCCGCGGACGGGGCTCGGCAGGGCTCCTTTGCAAAGGCGCATCATCAACAAGCAGAGCTTCGCGCGCACTGGTGTTTGTGAGCGGTAGAGTTGGCGATCTCAGCGCATTTCCGCAGCGTTGGACCAGTCATTCTTGAAGTGATTGGTGGTCGCCCTAGGCTGACTGTCGACCTCGATGCTTCGGGGCCATTTCGCCTTCAGAAGTTTCAGCAGTCAGTTTTATTCGCTGCGCTCGCCTTCACCGTCACCTACACCTTCTCTCCCTTCTCCATTCTTCCCCCACCCCTCCGTCTTCCGCCGCACGACTCCTCCTTCCCTGCGTAATTCTCTTCACTTCGGCGCCCCAAGACGTACTTTCGCCTCCATGGATCAACATGCCGACACACCCGAAGCCCGCACCAAGCGCAAACATCCTCCCACCCCCTCCAACGAGCGGCCCATGAAGCAAATCAAGGCACAACCCGATCCACACGGCCGCAATGGCACCCTGAGCATGGACGAACCGCCGTCGTCGGCTTCCGAAGTCAGCCTCGAAGAGCTACCCCCCACACACATCGCCGGAGCAGTTCACGATACGGCTGAGTGGCAAAGGACGATAGAACATGTGGTCAAGAACGTCGTGTCGATACACTTCTGCCAGACATGCTCGTTCGACACCGATGCGGCTGTCACGTCGGAGGCGACTGGATTCGTGGTGGATGCAGAGCAGGGCTACATCCTTACAAATCGAGTACGCACCGCATCTATCCCGAAGGGAACGAGAGATTGCTGACAAGGGATAGCACGTTGTTGGCGCAGGTCCCTTTATCGGTTATTGCATTTTCGACAATCATGAAGAGGTAGGCTCCTGAGATCCTCCAATGGCGGCCGCTGCTGACATGGCTGTCTAGTGCGACGTTTGGCCTGTATACCGCGACCCCGTTCACGATTTCGGTATCCTCCGTTTCGACCCCAAAGCGATCAAATACATGCCGTTATCCGCCCTCCAGCTGCGCCCAGACCTAGCAAAAGTGGGTGTGGAAATCCGAGTAGTGGGAAATGACGCCGGAGAGAAACTTAGTATCCTGTCTGGAGTTATCAGTCGTTTGGATCGGAATGCTCCCGAATACGGCGAGGGATACTCCGATTTCAACACCAATTACATACAGGCTGCAGCGGCTGCCAGCGGAGGCAGTTCTGGCAGTCCTGTCGTGAATAAGGATGGATTTGCAGTCGCACTACAGGCTGGAGGTAGAGCAGATGGAGCAGCGACGGATTATTTTCTGCCCCTTGACCGACCCCTCCGGGCCTTGGAGCTGATTCGGAAGGGCGAGCACGTCTCCAGAGGCACGATCCAGACTCAATGGCTGATGAAGCCGTTCGACGAGTGTCGGAGGCTGGGTCTGTCACCCAAGTGGGAGAAGGCGATGCGCACACACTTTCCCAAGGAGACCGGTATGCTCGTCGCCGAAGTCGTGCTGCCGGATGGGCCTGCGTCCAAGAAGATCGAAGAGGGTGATCTGCTCATCAAGGTCAATGGCGAGCTCCTCACTCAGTTTATCCGGTTGGACTCTATTCTCGACGACAGCGTTGGCAAGAAAGTCAACATGCTGATTCAAAGAGCTGGCGAGGATATTGAGATTGAATTGGACGTTGGCGACCTGCACAGCATCACACCCGACCGCTTCGTTTCAGTTGCTGGCGCTTCCTTCCACGACCTCTCCTACCAGCAAGCTCGGCTTTACGCGATTTCACTGAAGACCAAGGGCGTCTATGTGTGCGAAGCAGCTGGCTCGTTCCGCTTCGCTGATGGATATTCATCCGGATGGCTTGTTCAGGAGGTGGACAATCAGCCTACCCCTGACCTCGACACATTCATCGAGGTGATGCGGAATATCCCCGACAGGAAGCGAGTAGTCATCAAGTATAAACACCTAAGGGACCTCCACTCATCCAGCATTTACATCTCGGCTATCGATCGGCACTGGCACCCCACGATGAGACTCGCGAAACGCAACGACACCACGGGCTTGTGGGATTTCAGCAAGCTTGCCGAGGCCGTTCCCGCACTCCCACCCACTCCTGCACGAGCGAACTTTGTGAAGATCAACTCAAAGTATCAGGAGGCTGTCGACATCGTGCGTAGCTTTGTCCGTGTAAGCGTCTCCATGCCGGTGAAGCTCGATGGCTTCCCCAAGACGCATAAGCAGGGCTATGGTCTGGTTGTAGATGCCGAGCAAGGTCTCGTCCTGGTCTCTCGAGCACTCATCCCGTATGACCTGTGCGATATATCCCTCGTCATTGCCGAGTCAATCTTCGTTGATGCGAAGATTGTCTTCCTGCATCCCCTTCAAAACTACGCCATCATCAAGTACGACACTTCGCTGGTGAACGCACCGGTCAAGACCCCGAAATTCTCCACAGAGCCTATCAGGAAGGGCGACGACACCATCTTCTTTGGGCTGAACCAGAACTTCCGCCCAGTCGTCACCAAGACAGTCGTGACGGATATCTCGTCCGTTGCCATCCCCGCAAGTGTGGTGGTACCTAGGTATCGGGCCATCAACTTCGACGCCATCACAGTAGAAACCAACCAAGCCTCCCACAGCGCCTCCGGTGTCCTGATGGCTGAAGATGGAACTGTCCAGGCGCTCTGGCTATCCTATCTTGGTGAGCGCACCTCCCATAGCGGTAAGGATGTCGAGTATCACCTCGGTCTCGACGCGCAGATGGTTCTTCCTGTCCTTAAGCAGATCCAAAGCGGGAAGACTCCTAAGCTGCGAATTCTTAACGTGGAGTTCCAGCCCATGCAAATCAGCCATGCCCGTATCATGGGAGTTAGCGAAGAATGGCTTGCGAAGACAGAACAAGAAGACCCAGAACGACATCAACTCTTCATGGTCCGCAAGGTCGACTCGGGCCACCAAGGCATCGAGGAAGGAGACATCCTCCTCACGCTCAACGGCAAACTCATCACCCGCTCCTCCGACCTCGACATCATGTACAACAACGAATATCTCGACGCGCTCGTCGTGCGGAAAAAGCAGGAGATGACGCTCAAAGTCCCCACGGTCCCCACCGAGGACCTCGAAACTGACCGCGTCGTCCTCTACTGCGGCGCCACGCTCCACAGACCGCACCAAGCCGTCCGCCAGCAAATCAGCAAAGTGCATTCCGACGTCTACATCTCGTCTCGCGCGCGCGGGTCGCCGGCGTACCTGTACGGCCTCTCGAGCACGAATTTCTTGACTCATGTGAATAACGTGCCCACGCCCGATCTAGACGCCTTTTTAAGGGAAGTCAAGAAGGTGGGGGATAACGAGTACTTCCGCCTCAAGGTCATGACGTTTGACGATGTGCCGTGGGTCTGCACGATGAAGAAGAACGAGCATTATTTCCCGACGATTGAGTTCGTCAAGGATGCCGGGGAGCCGCTGGGGTGGAGGAAGATTATTCATGAGTGTGATGAGGGGGGTTCGAGGGATGGGGGTATGGTGGAGGAGATGGAGGTCGATGGGAGTGTGGAGAGTGCTTTGGAGCCGGAGCCAAGGGGGGAGTAGGAGGTGGCTGTTGGGTTCAACGCTGCGTTTTTGCGGGCATGGGGAAGGGATAGAGTGTATTGTATTATATGTTTGCGTGTATGTATCCGCATAGCCTTGGATGTAGAGGGGGGTTACTGGCCAGCGGAGCGAATGAAATGCATACTCTCCTATTTGGTGGGAGTTTGTTGTATGGCGTACGGTGGTGTTGAATAGATGGTTCGCGCTTTCGATGGTCGGCGAATTGCACGAGCTGGATCTTGCTGGACGGTTACTATGGTAGTTGGAAGCGAGGGCGCTGCGTTGGGCTGAGTTGTGTGAGGCTGAGGCTGTGCAGCTGCTGTACCACGATCGAGTCCCTCCGCTGATATATCTCAGTGCTGTAGTGTATTCACCCTGCGTACAACTCTTCTTCTAAGTAAGGACTGCTCTCGTCATCGCATAGTTTCTCTCTTCTAAACCACGGCATCCGGGATTGAAGACTATTTTTGCCGGTGTTGTTCGCAGTGCGGTGCGGGCGGTAGTTGGGTCGAGGCAACAAGGCTCTGAGGAACATTTGAACGCTATTTTCGTGCCATATCGAGGTATCCGGACAGTAGCTGCAACGAGTGTTTTTGAGACGCGTCGACTCGCGTTTCTATTGAGGAGAGAGCTGGGAGAACAGAACGCGGGGGTTTCAGAGGGATATATTTGCGAAGCATTCTGTATGAACAAGAGACGGGGAAGGGGACTAAACGACGTTGAAGGACAGTAACTCGAGAAAATCACCACAGCCGTTGCTTTTCCTACAATAGCTTAGCCTTGACTGGTTTATTAAGAGGTGGTGTTGCGGGAATCATAGTTGGGTTCGGACGCTTCAGTGGTCTCGCGGAAGACGGTCAAATCCGAGAAAACAGGTATATGGCATATATTCTACCAGGGAAACCTACCTCACGCCGGAGCCATACGCACTCACCATGTACATCACCAGAGATAGCACAAGCGATCAACTTCCAGAGCCAGCGCAACAGCCGTTCCGAGGAATATACGATGGAGTCCACGATATGTACGGCCCAGGCGCATTCGTCGCATGGATCATAACCGGATACTGTGTCGCAGCACAATACTTCTCGCCCATGGAGGGCCCGCTGTACTGGAATATCGACAAAGACCTTGCCATTTTCCTCCTTTATCCCGTCGTCGCCGCTGGCCAGCTGATATACAAGTCGAGCCGGTACTCCGGACCTCGGACTGACTTCTGCGCCTCTACATACTCCCAGGGTCCTTCGAAGCCCGGCGTAGCGGCCATATGGGCATGCACGAATGTGTGCCTCACGGCCACCTCCATGAACGCCTGTCTCCTTGTTCTTTTGCGCAAGTCACGAATCCGTTTCATCTGCGTCCTCGCCGCGTATCTCTGGCTCCTAGCCAGTCTTCTGTACGCATGGAGACCATGTCTCAGCTTCAAGGACATGGTCTGCTGGTCTATATTGATCATGGCCTGGCCCCTTCTGTCCGCATTGGGCCCTGCTGCTCTGCCACTCGCCGTCTTCATCTTACCGTACGGGATACGGGACACTTGGTACTTTGTGTCCAATCACCACTTCTCCGGACTAGATCATCTGAACTATAAGGATTATGTTACGGTCTTCGTTCTCGCGCTGCTCGGAATCTGCGGACCTCTTTTCGGAGCTCTTTTCATGGCGTTTTTGGGCGTGGGCGCACTGGGCTGCCTGCTCCTGATGATTCCGCAGACGAACCACAAGATCGACGACTTTGGACAGATCATGACGCTCATGGCTGCCGTTGTGAATGCCGTCTTTGTGGTGCGGACTCTTTTCAAGGAATATGGGAGAGTGTGGTTGGGGTACTTGCTGGAGCGGGAGCGCTACTGGACCGAGAGCAGAGTACAGGCGGATCGGATAGAGAGACCGTGATAGAACCAATTTAGGGCAGTGAGGGACAGGGCACTCAGGACTAAACGACTTCTGCAATTTCTTGCTGAGAGCTTTTCACGAAAGGCAGGTTTGCAACCGAGGATTCGCATGGATACGGTCAAAATGCAGATGACGACAGATTTGCGCTTCGCGGTGTAATAAGAATGCAGACCTCTTTTCGACTGTTGAATGGATAGTGTCGAGAACGAAATGCAAAACGAAGAGGAGAAGTGGAGAAAGAGTTGGCAAAAAGAGAAAAGTAAATTTCTCCCCCGGGTGGGCTCGAACCACCAACCTCCTGATTTTTGAGATCCGAAAGTCGAATAACAGTCAGACGCGCTAGCCAATTGCGCCACGGAGGATAGGAATTTAATTTAGAAAACCTTTGTTTTTTCAAACTTATATGTGTTCATATCATGAGGTATCAGACTCCAACACAACAGGTGTCAGATGGTAATCGGGCCCCGACGGGTCGCTTATATAATCGAATTTTCCTGCGGAAAATGCCCCCTGCGCAGCAGGGGGCCTACACGCTCAACGCGAATGAA